AGAGCGGCGCCGAGAGCATGATCTCACGGAAGAACACGTCCCTCATGTCTTCTAGCTTGATGGCTCTTGCGGAGCCCTGCGGCATCCGCGTCCCCGTGAGAGAGAGTTGGTGGGATGGAGGACCACCGCCATAGACCCTGAACGAGAGCGTTCGATGAGGAAGCCGCGCGACGTGAGCGGCCGATTTTCGGCGGGGGAGAATGGCGGGAGCTCAACGTGGGTCCCAACCCTACACAACGGGGCACATCGAATCGATGGATCCAAGCCGACCACGCGTCACGGACGCCACCTCATCCATGAACATCACCACCACACGAGGAGCCGACCACGCCACGTTGTGACCGGCGCAAGACGATCGCGCGGCGGCGTCTCGCCCGACAAGACCTTCTTCTGGAGGACACGGTAGAAAGCGACGCGGTCCGAAGTCGAGGGTCGAGCTCACGGGAGGCACGAAGCCGCGAAGCAGGAGCGGGCGCCACCTCAAGTAGCGAGCGGACGACGCACGCGCGTCTTGGACAAGACCTTCTCGGGACACGGGGAGCAAGCGGATCGGACGACGCGCGCGCGCGTCGTGGCTCGACTTGAGACGCCGCCGATGGAATCGAGGAGAGATCTCGGTAGGCGATGTGGATCTCCGATCCACGGAGAGATAGGGACCTTCTCTTAGAATTGGGAGACTGAGCCATGGAAAACAGATGACATCAACTATGGTTCATGTAAGAAACAGCAAGCGAGGGCGATGGAACACGTGAGCGTGAAACCAAATGAAAGGAGGAAAAAGCTGTCCCTTTTGCAAATGCAAAGAATGGAAGAAATTAAATATAGGCAGATTTAGCAAGGTTCTCAGAAATGCAAAGAAAGAGGTTCTTTTTGTCTTAATTCTTTTTTCTTCTGTGTTAATTCTCTTTTCTTTTGCTTGTTGCGGTGCATGCAAACATGCAATGTGTATATGGATAGCACAATAATTTTATACTTCCTATTTTTTCGTGATTCCTCTATCACATGACATGCAATATTCAATCAAGGAGAATGGCACGATCAATCAGCAATTAAGATGTCGTGGGATCACAGGCGTGGGCAGACGGACGAATCAAAATAAATGTCGCACTAAAAAATATCCACACTTTGTTCTTTTTAGTTGTAGGAGATATTAGGTAGCGTGCCCGTGCATTGCTATGGAATAACTAACAATTTATACTAAAAACATACGGATCGCACGATAAGATAACAATACTGTTAAATTAAATACCAACGTTAAAGTGATATTTAATATAAAAAGCAAAGTTTATGAATTTAACACAGTCACGGAGTGCACGGCGTCGTAGGCTCACAAACTCTAGAGCTTCCAGAGATTGGGTCGAATCCAACCTAGAGCCTCGAAACCCTGCATCTTTTCCTGGACGGGCTTCACTTCGGATGCACCGGTAGCAATATCAACGATCTCCAGTCGATGGACCAAATCGTATGGATCACCATACAATAGCTCAGACATGTAGATTTTGTTCTCCTTGTACTTGGATACACTTGTTCCACTGAAGCTTTCATTGAAATGTTTAGACACGAATAGTGTCTGATCACCGATGTCCCTCACCCTGGACCACTCCGGCGTACGGTCGTTAAGGTTGCACTCGTAGATCGCGCTGCAGTAGGTAAAGCTCTGTGTCTCGTGGAACATGCTCACCATGGCACCCACAATGTGCAGCTCACCGTTTGATTCTAGGTAGCTACGGTGGCAGAGCCCCGCAGGTGACGATAGCGATGGCAGCAGCGTCGCGGTTGGAGTAGCGCCGCCGGCGTTGCTGCTGCAGACGGAGATTTCTCCAATGCAGTCGATCGCCAAGAACTTGTCTTGGAAGTGGACGATGGACCCCACGGAGAACTCTAGTTTGGTGTCGAGCAGCTTCCATGCGCTGTCAACTCCAAACCGGCAGAACGCGACCTCCGTGGAGCACCCAAGCATGGCCATGGCCACGCACTCGCGGCCAACGGCGTCAGGCGGCGCCGAGAGCACGATCTCACGGAAGAACACGTCCATCATGTCTTCTAGCTTGATGGCTCTGCCTGCGGCATCCGTGTCCCCGTAGCCGTTGGTGGGATGGAGGACCCACCGGCCGTGGACCCTAGACACACGTTCTGATGAGGACGCCGCCGCGACGTGTTCGCCTACTGGCGGGAGCTCAACGCGGGGGGCACAGGCACCGGCGAATGGATTCAGCAGCGTCACGGATGCCGCCTTCGTCCATGAGCGTCAGCCACCCATACGAGGAGTCGCACGTCACCTTGCCGCGCACGTCGGACAGTGTCTTGGACAAGACCTTCTTCTTCGGGACGCAGTAGAAACCGACGTGGTCCGAGTCAGGGTCAAACGGGAGCAGCAGGAGCGGCCCGAAGGTAGCGAACGGGACAGCGACGCGCCATGAGGAGCAAGCGGATTGGAAGGACGCCGCGTCGTGGCCTGACGCGAGACGCTGCCCGATGGACTCGAGGAAATCCTATGGTATGCCGGATCTCCAGTCAGAGAGAGATAAGGACCTTCTCTTAGGATTGGGATGCTGAGCCATAGAAGACAGATGACATCAACTATGATTCACACAAGAAACAGCAAGCGAGGGCGATGGAACACGTGAGCGTGAAACCAAATAAAAGGAGGAAAAAGCTGTCCTTTTTGTAAATACAAAGAGGGAAAGTAATTAAATATAGACAGATTTGACAAGGTTCTCAGAAATGCAAAGAAAGAGGTTCCTTTTGTCTTAATTCTCTTTCCTTCTGTGTTAATTCTCTTTCCTTTTGCTCGTTGCCATGTATGCTGGTGCATGCAAACATGCAATGTGTATATGGATGGCATAATAATTTTCTACTTTCTATTTTGTCGTGATTCCTCTATCACATGACATGCAATATTTAATCAAGGAGAATGGCCGGATCAATCAGTAATTAAGATGTCGTGGGATCGCAGGCATGGGCAGACGGACGAACCAAAATAAATGTCACACAAACAAAAATATCCACACTCTGTTCTTTTTAGTTATAGGAGATGTGTAGCTACTGTACTAACGCGCGTATCAGTGCTGCAACACAAACACAGGCGCCCAGTCCAGCTACAAAAAAACTCTCCAACGGCGGAGGAGGAGCACCGTCTGCAAGTTCGCAACTGCTAACACATCGCGTCCAGTCCAACACAGCGAAGCGACAGCGAGTGAGTGCCACACTCCTCTTAGTCCGGGCAGCACGCAGCAGGGCTATAGTCCACACCACAGAGCACGCCAGTTTCAGACTTCAGTTGTACTGCTAAAGTCCCCCAGTGGAGCGAGTGCCGTCCGTCCTTCCCCTCCGATGGCTTCGTCTCCCGTCTCCCAGTTGTACCGCTGCCCAGGGCTCTGATGATGGCCTCCAGCACTGCTACCAACTCTTGGTTCGTCACCTGGACGAGCTGGGAGAGGCCCGCAACGAGATGCTCGCCGCCATCGCTGCGGTACACAATGACGTCCAGGCCTGCCGCGCGGAGGTGCTCGCCGCCATCGCTGACGTCCGCCGCCTCCTCCGTTTCCGGGGGCTCCAGTGATCACTGATGGATGGATGGATGCATCATACTACTGACTCGATCTCAGTCTGGCTGCATGGATGGACGGACGATGGATGTCTGACTGTCACAGATAAAATAAATAAATAAATTCTGCAACACGAGATGATCGATGATGATACACTTGTCTTTGTCTGGATGGCTTGGATGATGTCTTTGTCTTTAATTTGGGCAAAAAAAATCTTTTCTACAGCCTGTTCGCTTCGCTGAAAAAGCCGAAACACTGTTTTGGCTTATTTGTTGGGAGAGAAAAATACTATTTCGATTGAAAAAATAAGCTGAAAATACGAATTATAAAATAAGCGAACATGCCTACAGATCCATCTCCTGGACCATGCATCTACTGCATGCCCATAGTCTGATCTCATAGTCATAGAGCTCTGCCCACAGTTTCCCTGTCAGGCTGTCACTGCAAGTACCGTACCGAAAAACTCAGGCTCACCAGTTCATCAAGGCCACTTCTTATCACCCAAAACGAGTTATCATCAGCATGTTCGGGAGGCCGTATCGTATCGTGGATTATTTACTGTTGGCCGGTTTGGTGTGAGAGAAAAACACTGTTCCCGGTTGGAAATTTACGATCATTTACGAGCAAGCGAACAGGCTGCATATCCTCCTGGATGATGCTTGTCTTTAATTTGTTTGGATGGCTTTACAGAATGGTATAATTATTTAGTAGTACGTATATACAACATTATGTTTGATTGGTTGTAGGGATCCAACCTTAGAATTTCGACGAAAGCTTCCCCTGTTACATGCAATTTCACATACACTGCCCTCCAGCTCCTTTCCTGCTATCCAGCACTCCCAGTATTATTTACTAGCTCCTCTTGCCCAAGCTCCCATCACCATCAACACTGTCCTCCTCCCGGCTCGTTCGTACGACGGCCGCCCGCTAACAAAGGTCGGCGCCCCTGGTGAAGAAGCAATGCCTCGCGTCAAGGAAGTAGAGAACACAACTGGATCTACACATCAAGTACAGCGGCCCCCTACAAGCTAAAGTACCCTCTTCACCCAATGCATCAGTGTTTACATTGGGAGATGATGAAGAGATTTCATTTTCTTCATATAAATTTCACAGCAAAGCAGCGATACAAGTACTCTTCTTTTGCATGTGCTACATACAAGTACTACTATTCTCTTCCCAACAACACTATTTTCTTGGAATTGCTCCTCCCAACCAACACAACCATCATCAAAATTCATACAAGTTACAACAATTTACAGCTATAAGAAATATTCATTTTTTTTAAAAAAAAAATCCTACAACTATGCCAACCTCTACTAACTCATGGGTATATGAGAGACTGGTACCAGATCAAACATGTGTGTACTCACATCTCCACATTCTTCGCATCATGCGGTTCAACAAATTAAGGCCCATGTTAGCACGCCCAGTATATATGCCGTGGTACACTCTTCAGCGATAGAAACTGGCTTTTGGACAAAGTTTTTCTACAGATCCATCAGCTCGTCCATCTACTGCCCGTAGCTTGATCTGATATATCTTTGGCCACAGTTTCCCTGTCACTGCAAGTACCGTACCAAAAAGGCTCATCAGATCAAATTTCAGCCCAAGGCCACTTATCACCCAAAATGAAAAAAAGAGAGTTCATTGGGAATGCTTAAAGCTCACCAAATAATCTGTGGCTTCTTTCATCCCAAGCTATCCCGTTTAAGACATCAATATTCTGGAACAGAGCATATTTCATTTAGGACATCATGTAATTTCTCCTATATATTTGGGGATTTTCGTAATGATGGAACTGTTTACTTGTTTCATCCTGTTTCCACTACAAAACTACCATGCAGTACAGAACAAAATGGAGTTTGTTCCCGAATGGACGATTGCAAATGGGTATTATGGAGTAAAGGAAATATAAAAACACAACATAAAGGAAAAAGGAAAAAAAATAACACCATAAACTGCCTACCGTATTGCCTGAGTTCCACAACTGCTGCCTGCAGGATTACAAAGCACAAATATCATTACTCTGACATGGGAATACTGATACTGTTATAAGCGTGTTGTTTAAAATAAAAATAAAACATACCTCAGCTCATGAAGAAAGATCCAGCCCACCACTAGGCCATCTTCAGGGGACACTCTAGCTATGCAATCTGTCTGCGTATCATAGCTTTCAAAACTCAGATGCCCAGGTCACACATTATAGAAAATTACAAGGTATCTATCTCTCCGTACATTGATAGATCATATATTAGTAGGGTACAGCAAAATTACATAGAAATACAGCAAATCACTTAGCAACAGGTGGAGAGAATTGGGTAGAGGAACTCCCATAAGATGGCTAATTATTATGAAAAATCAGAGTGCGTGCATTGTAGTAAGGACTCAGCAGCCTATTTGGCAGCGATAGGCCAAATGAAGAGCATCACTCAGTGAAACTTGGTCGCTTTGAGGAAAGTTGAGGTACACACCATGGAAATAATAATCGGAGAAGCCTTTAAACCTCATTCATATTTGGTCTAAGATACTAATGGTGCCACTAAGATATTAATGGAAGATATAGTGGTCCTTGCCAAATGCAGTACATAGTTACACTAAGATATTTCATAATAAGATATGTTAGCTAGGAGGAACTACATCTAACCTGCCAGACATTTGCCCAGACTTCACCATCTATATACTCCAGCTCATTAAGATAGGGGACTTCATTACCATGATACTTGACAGTCACCACTTTCATGACTGCATGAAAATAATTGTTCAACAAAAAAGAAAAAGAAATCTAAACGCTAATAGAATATCAAGTAGAAAGAATAGTAACCTTCAAGTGACTTTGGATCCAGCTTATATAGCATTGAAGTGCCATCACTGCCAAAAAGAACTTTGCCATCAGTCGCCAGACCCCAACCATCTCGCATTTTATGGGTAAAACTCGTGCGCTGCATATTTGGTATATAGGAAATTAACAACAACAATAACATACTCATGCACTGAAAGTAAACTGGCAAGCAAATAAAAGCTCAAGAGACATCAGTAAATGCCAAGCAATTGTGCATCCAGAACTCACAAGAAAAGTACCATCACGAAAAAAAAAGCTGATACCCAAATTAAAAGTGGGATTTTAGAATTGTTATCCAGGGTTAAAAGCAATAGGTCTGTGTGATTGATGTAAGCATAGACACAGGGCGGCAGCATACTTTGGAGAAGTTATGTCGATCATATATAAACCCTTCGTTCTTCAACCAGGTAACCTGAAACAATCTACAGAGTGAAACAAATGAAAATGAAATAGGGTCTGAATGGGAAGGATACAAACAAAGTAAGCCCATGCCCATTATCTTTGAGAAAGGCATTGGCATGTGAGGTGGTTATGCACCTGTCGCCGAGAAGAGTTAAACCTTCTCCAAAAATATGTCCGTCCATTTGGTGGTTAACCAAAACCTACAAAATGGTGAATCGCCAATCAAACTTTAAGAGAAGCTAAGTAAAATAATCAGGTGATGAGTGAGCGAACAAAGAGCACCACAAGTATGAGATATGTGATGATAAACATGAGTAAGCATTGAAGTTAGCATACTTTTCCGGTCTGAAGATCAACCTTTCGGACAGAAGACTGTTGAGAAACCAAAAGCAGAGACATTTAGTGGGATACAAATGTAGGATGATCAGAGGATTGTTTGTTGGGCACGGTAGGAGCGAACATTACCCTGTGATAGAGGCCAGTGGACTCGAAAAGAGTGTCATTTTCCGCGTACAAGAGACCCTACATCCGAAGCACACGATGCAGCAGAGTATAATAAGTAAGAATGCATCGTCTTGAACACTGAACTATCAAGAATTGAGAAAATACGGTGTTCTTTTTGTACTAGAATAGAAGCCCCATGTGTTGATGAGGCACGCACTCATCAAGTAGTACAGGAAGAGAATTTCCCCATTGGTGATGAGGTTGAGAATTGAGATCAGATCTCACCTCAGGAAGAAAGAAGAGAAGAAAAGCACACCTGGGTGAAGGCGTCCGGGTCGTGAGGGTACTCGCGGACCAGGTCGAAGGAGAAGAACCTGGTGGCAACAGCTGGGTGGGCGAGGAGGGCGGTCGGCGGGGACCCGGCTCGCCTGGTGGTGTAGGCGGCGGCGAGCAGGAGGAACGCGGCCAGCGCCGCGGCTACCACGATGAACGGGCCGCGGAGGTAGAGCGGCTTTGTGGGCGCTGGCGTGGGGGCGGGGGCGGAGACGGAGGCGGGTGTCATGGCGCGACGGTGGTGCGGCGGCGGCGGCCTCCGTCGGGAGCCGACGGGCATCTGGGACAGCCAGTTGAAAAAGTCAACGTGTCCACACGCGCCTACACTTGGTTTCCTTGGAAATAACTATTCTTCCTTTATTTTTATTTTTTTCATTTCATTTCATTCAAGCATATATTCATTTTTCAAAAAATGGTACTCAATTCATCCCAAATTGTAAGACGTTTGACTTTTTTATACCAAGTTTGACCACTCGTCTTATTCAAAAATTTATGTAAAATATCACTTCTTTCGTCGTGGTTTGGTTTATTAATAAAAATTCTTCAAGAATGACTTAAATTTGACTATATTTGCATAATTTTTTTAATAAAACGAGTGGTCAAATTTAGGGCTAAAAAAGTCAAACGTCTTATAATTTGGGACGAAGGGAGTGATAAAGAAGCATTCGTTCATTGAAGGGTGTGATTATATTTCTCCAATGTGACATCATCGTGCGTTGTCTTTTCAATCACGAAGATGTACAGGTACTTCCAAATTATTACTCTATCATGTACTGTACGTTATTTAATTTTATTGGCAGCGTGCAATCTCCCTATCTACTGTACTTCCTGCAATTGTAATGATAAGCATATTTTGTAAATATAAAAATTCGAACTTTACAAATAGTTTTGTATTCAAAGTAGATCTAAGATAATATTGATTCTTTAGCAAATGGCACGCAACATAATGTAAGAGAAATTAAGGGTAAGAATCTTTTTTAATGAAAATTTCTTGATCAAAGTACAATTGAGGGAGCATATATATCTAGGTTTTTCCTATAGATCAAACTTTGCTAGCTTTAACTTCAGGAATATCTAAAAATTTGTATAAATTAACAAGACAAGAATGCCACTACTAGAATTAAAAGATACTTCCTTAATATATAACTCTTCTCATTTAAATAATAACTAGCAAACATGCCTGTGTCGTTGTCCGTGATCAGAATATGTATCATCGCATACACAAGTTGTTCTAAATCATAGGAGTATGATTTCATGAATCCGAGTCATGTATAAGATTATATGGAGCTATATACGAGTTGTTCTATACTGAGGACACAAGAACAGTTTGGGGGAAAAAAAAATGGGGCGAAAGAAAGGAACAACCACACGCAAGGGTACTTTGAGAATAGAAAAAGCAGGCTAAAAGAAACGTTTTACTCTTTAATATTAAATTAAAGTTGAGCTATAGTATTATAGTTTTACAGACTGTCTTCAATGACTAAGCCCTAAACACGACATCCATTTCAGATTTTGGGTCATGCACAGGAAAAAGTCACGCACCCATAACTCAACCCTCTCCAACAGCGACGCAAAAACAGAGCCCCATCCGAAGCGGAGGACGACCGCACGGCCGAGGACGCCGCCGAGCTGCCTACCTCGTCCGCCACGGCGGCGACCGTATCCCGAAGCGGAGGACGACCGCCCGGCCCAGGACGCCGCCGAGCTGCGGTCCCGTGCGCCTCCTCCCCGGTCCTCATCCCTCCGCGGCGGAGAAGACGAAGACGTGGCCGCGGGAGTCCCCGACGGTGAAGTACTTGGCGGCCGGCGGCGGGGGATCCGAGTCCGACGGCGAAGTACTCCGCGCAGCTCCTCCAGTAGGTGGCCCGCTCTCCGATGCCCTCTCTCCATTCATTCTCTGCCAACCAGAGCATGACCAGCCAGAGCAGAGACAAGAAGCACGCGATTGAATGCACAGCACAGAGAAGCGGCACCGGAGAGGAAGCAAGCGGCAAGCGTCTTTGCGCCAAGACGCGAAGCGAAGCGCCCCGCTGGGCGGCGCGACGCGAGTGAAAAGGCACGGACAAGCGGCACGGGGAGAAGAAGACGCGACGAAGCGCGCGCGCAAGACGCTGGCGACCGCCTCCCAGCGCGCCGGCGCGACGCTGGCGGTGGGTAAAGCGAGCGGCAGCGGAAAGCGCGAACGCTAAGACGAAGCGCGACGCCCGGCGGACATGGACGGGCGAAAAGGGAAAGGCGAGAGAGCGACGACGGCGGCGAAGCAAGCGCGACACACAGACGAAGCAGACGCGCGCCCGGAAAGAAGCGGCGAAGGGGCGGGTTGCACGGGCGCGGCGGAGCTGCCGCTGTTGGCGAGCGGTGCCGACGCGAGCGAGCGGGGCCGGTGCGGGAGCGGGCCACCTCGGACGCGAGCGGTGCCGACGCGAGCGAGCGCGGACGATTTGCATAGCGAGGAGAGAGACGATGCTTTTTTTTTGCGTATCGATTGGTCCGGTAGGCAAAATGGGTCACGTGTTTGGGTCAGCTGTTGGAGGGTGTTTTCGGGTACGCAAAGCACTGTGGGGGATGTATTTTGGGTTTACCTCTCGGCGTTGGAGACAGTCTAATATCCTATAATCATCAACTTGTACTTGCATAATTGGAGAATATGTGTTTGGCAAGTTGATCAACGACATCATAATAGCTAGCTCTGCCAGTATGTACTAGCAGTATGCGCAAATTAATGATTTGGGTACAATAATTAGGTCATACCCGTCAACCAACAACCGATGAAATAGGCTCTGTTTGGCTGCTCGTAAAACCACTTATGTTGATTTATATGATTGATTTATTGGAAGAGAAAAATATTATACCATAGCTTACGAGCAACCGAACAACCCCATATACTCTTACACTCTAAATTATAGTTCATATTAGATATTTTTCTAAGTCAAACGTCTTTCATTTTAACTAAGTTTGTAGAAACATATATCAACATCTAAAATATTAAATTAGTTTCATTGACAGAGTATTTAATTTATTTGAACTTATGGATGTTAATATATTTTTAAAAAAACTTTGGCTAAAGAAATTTAATCTAGGACAAAACAAATATGAACTGTAATTAAAATACTTTTTTTTGTGAAAGTAGGTACATGCTTATATTATATACGAGATGTGCATGTGTGTTTGTGTGGTGCGTGGGACTGTGGGTTGGTTTGCGTTTGTGTTTGTTGTGGTGTATCATGCAAAAACCTCTTTCTTGATTCCGTAGAGTTGTGTAAGGGGTCTTTAAATCCAGGGGCGTCACATCAGGTATCATACGAGGGTGTTATATGAGAGTGTTTGGATAGTAATAATAAAATAAATTACACAAGTCATCAGTAATCCGCGAGACGAATTTATTAAGTCTAATTAATCCGTCACTAGCGCATGTTTACTATAGCAACACATTGTCAAATCATAGACTAATTAGGCTTAAAAATGTATCACGCAAATTAGTCTCAATCTATGTATTTAGTTTCATAATTAGTCTATATTTAATACTACATACATATGTCCAAACATCCGATATGATAGGGACTAAAGTTTAAGAGGGAAAACAAATAAGGCCTAAAGATTTGTCCATGTGTATGTGTCCCGATCGAAGGTTTGAAAAAGAGTAAAGTATACCAGCGGTCCCTAAACTTACGCTACTGTGTCATCCTAGTCCCTAAAGTTGCAAAATGATCGTTTGGGTGCCTAATCACTGTTCAGGTCTCAGTTGGGTCCAACCGGGTGTGAGGCACGTTGCACTAATGCAAATACCCTCCTGAGCGCTTTCTTGCGTTGAACTAATGCTCCTCCGCCGACCACAACGCTGCCTCGTCGAGGAAGTCCACTAGTCAGGCCTTGATCCACGAGCCTCGTCGCCAACTCCAAGCTCGCCATGACAGCCCGCTTGCCGGCCGGCTGCTCCGTGAGCCTCGGCGAGGTCGTTGTCTTCGGCGGACGAGACTATCAAGACGATGAGCGCGTCCATGGGATGCGGCTGTGTTAGAATCGGCGTGTGTGTACCTTTGCGTAACCCGTAGATTGGGGTAGGCTCCTCGCCTTTCTCTGTTGCGGCTTCTCGGCAAGCATGAACGCCGGTGCCGCAGTGTAGTAGATGTCGTAGTGGCGAGGAGGTGATGTCCAGTGGCGCCGGCGGAGAACCTGCAGGGGCGACGGCGGTGGTGGGGCACATCCCGGCGCTTCTAGCACTACTTTAAATCGGTTTTAGGGATTCTCTGTTGAGTGGGTGGCGGCTCCGATGAACCTCGTAGTCCGAGCCCTCACCCCCACCTTCCTTTTATGTGTGCTGTGCGACAGGGGCCCACCAATCGGATTAGGGTTGGGCTCCCCCGATCAGGGAGCAGAGATAAGGGCCCAATAGACCGTTGGGCCTATTGGTGGAGATCAACTAACATTCTTCCCCTTGATCTCATTCCATCTTTCACTTTCATATCATTTACTTTTGTTTATTCCATTATGGATTAGCTCATAGAGCATGTCTCATCGTCACGGTCCATTACCGATAGACTTAACAGCTACAACTCACTACTCTGTTCTGAAATAGATACTTATCTTTGGGCCTTCTTTTGTCTAGGAATATTTTAGGCTTTCCCTTAAACCCAAGCTAGCTACATGTTCTCTGAACACCATGTCCTCTGAACATGTTGGGTGGTAAGCCTTTTGTAAGTGGATCTGCGAGCATCCTTTCTTTTCTTATATGCTCAAGACTTATGACTTGATCCCGGACTTTATCTTTTACAACATAATACTCTATGTCAATGTGTTTGGCAGCACCACTTGACTTATGTTGTGAGCATACTATACTGCCAGATTATAATCGCAGTATTACTTTAAGTGGTCTATAGATGTCGTCAACCACTTTCAAACCGGGTATGAACTTCGTTAGTTAGTTCACCTGCCCGTTGCCTCATAACACGCTACAAACCGTCATACATTGTGGACGATGTAGTGATAGTTTGCTTTGAGCTTTTCCATGAAATAGCTCCCCTTTGCGAGATGATAGAAAATCCACGTCTGGATATGTATTCACTCTCGCATAATCAGAATCTGAATATCCCACCATGTGGAGTGAATCAGATCTTCTATATGTCATTATGAGGCCTTTCGTTCCTTACAAATAATGCAAGACTTTCTTTACTAATTTCAGTGTTCTATTCCAGAATTGCTCTGGAATCTGCCAAGTAAAACCCGGTAACAAATGCAAAGTCAGGGCGTGTACATACTTGAGCATGTTGCAAGCTTCCAACAGCTGAAGCATATGGAACCACTTTTACTTTATCAATTGAGCTCATATTGGTTCCTGGGGCATTGAAAATCCCCATATCTGTAGCCCTTGACTACAGGAGCAGGTGAGGGACTACATTTGTGCATACTGAATTTCTTTAAGATCTTTTTCATGTATGCCTTTTGTGACAGTCATTATACCCTTTTCGTCTATCTCGATGAATCTCGATCCCTAGAACGAATGAGGCTTCCTCAAGATCTTTCATATCAAGTTTTGAGAACAAAACTTCTTTGTTTCCTGTAGTAGACTAACATCACTACTAGCAAGTAAGATATCATTTACATACAGGATAAGGAAGATAAACTTCCCAATCTTAAACTTTGTATTGACACAATTGTCCCCTACATTCTCTTTACTTTGTATAGACACAATTGTTCTCTACATTCTCTTTACTTTGTATAGACACAATTGTCCTCTACATTCTCTTTAAATTCAAAATTCTTTATTGTCTGATCAAACTTCAAGTACCACTGTCTTGAAGCTTGTTTTAATCCATGAATGGATTTCTTTAGGCGGCATCCCATTCGTTCTTTTCCTTCCATGACAAAACCTTTCGGTTGTGCCATGTTAACATTTTCCTACAAGTCTCTGTTGAGAAATGCCGTCTTTACATCCACATGATGTAATTTTTAATCGTAATGTGCCACTAATGCCATTAAGATTCTGAAGGTAACTTTACATGAGACTGAAGAAAATGTCTCATTGTAATCAATCCCTTCTCTTTGCATAAAGCCTTTTGACACAAGTCACCCTTTATATCTCTCTATATTCCCTTGAGAGTCAAGTTTTGTTTTGTAGACCCATTTACAGCCTACTGTTTTGGCTCCTTTAGGAATTATTTCCAAGTCCCAAACTATATTGGCATTTATTGATTTCATTTCATCTTCCATGGCCTCAAGCCACTTTGATGAATGATTACTTTTCATGGCTTATTCAAATGAGGTGGGATCATCCTCCATTTGAAATTCTTTAGTGTTGTACACTTCATAATCAGCAAGAATAGCTTATTTTCTAACTTTTTGAGACCTACTAGGGGCCTTCACATTTGGCACATCTTCTATTTGAGGCTGTTGTTGCTCCCCCTCATGTGTGGCAATAGGTTCTATAGAATCCTGAAGAACAGGTTCCTCATCGTCATTCATTGTTGCCACAGGTGGGATAACAACAGGTGCTGGCACCACATTATCTAGCATTGTCGGTGCAGCTACAGCAGGTAGTGAGAAAAATGGCTCATGAATCATTGGAGTAGGTGCATACACCCGCTTCACTTCAAGGACAATTTCTCGAGCTACCATGCTCCCCCTCATCTTTTCGTCCTCTAGGAATATAGTAGAAACGAAAACCTTTTGACTTTTCTTTGTAGCCAATGAAATAGCAACTTACTATTTTGGGATCTAGTTTTCCAATGTTTGGGTTAAATACTTTAGCCTCAGCAGGGCTCCCCCACACACTCAAGTATTTAGTGAGGGTACTCTTTCTGTCCACAACTGATACGGTGTTTTGGGCACCGACTTTCTTGATACTTTATTGAGAATATGAATGGCCGTTTTCAACGCCTCCATTCACAGGCTCAACTGTAAGGTGGAGTAACTTATCATACTGCCCACCATATCCATCATGGTACGATTGATTCTTTTAGCTACTCTATTCTGCTGAGGTTTGCCCGGTATAGAATACGGGGCTACTATGCCATTCTTTTAGGGTATGCTGACCGTAGTACTCCTTCACGGTCAGATCTGACTATCTTAATCTTTAATATCTTGAATTTATCCAGTACATCTTTTCTTTCTTTGATTGGATAAATATAGCCATAATGGGAGTACTCATACGTGAATGTTATGAACGAATCATTACCATCCACACTTTTTACAGGAAACTGACCATAGATGTCTGTGTGAATAATCTATAAGATTCCTGCGCTTCGTTTGTCATCTTTCTTAATCTTCTTTATATACTTTTCTTTTATGCATTCTCTGCATTGAACTTAATCTGAGAGCTCTAATGGAGGAAGAATATCATTCTTAACTTGTCTTTCTATTCTCCCCCTCGAAATATGGCCTAAACGACAGTGCCATAATTTCGGCAACGCATCGTGAGCTCTCTTATGCCACCTTTTCTAGATTAACACTCTGTGACCAGCTTTATCAGCTAAGTGGCATATGTCTTTGAAGAGCCAGTGAACTGCTCTTTATTCTATCGAGGTACTCGGTGACCGTGTCACATTCTGGGATTGAGCCCACAATTGTAGGTTCAATCATGTTCTTTATCACAGCCAAACATTTCTTGTTTGCAGTGACCCACTTCCTATGCTCAAAAGCCATAGGATATCTTTTGGGATTCAAAATCCTTTTCTTTAGTTGCCCAAGTGGCATCATTCTCTTTTGTCTCCCTCACCGGTGCCACAATCTCAGTGGAACACGGTGTGGTGACTATCCAGTCCACCTTAGACAAGATGAAAACCAGGTCAAAACTTTTCTTAACTTAAAAATAACACTATTTGCATGCCTTGATTCCAACGTTGGTCAAAATCAAAACATACAATTATTTTTATACACTAATTCTACATCACCGTTGGACAGAAATAGAATTAATGCATAAATCTTTAACTTTCACAACTGTTCTTACACACTAATTCTACATCACCGTTGGGCAGAAGTAGAATTAATGCATAAATCATTAACCTTTTATAACTGTTCTCATGCACTAATTCTACATCACCGTTGGGCAGAAATAGAATTAATGCATAAATCATTGAAATTATCAACTTTTCTTATACACTAATTATACATCACCGTTGGGCAGAAGTAGAATTAATGCATAAATCATTAAAATTATGATATTGTTATTAACAACGTTGATAAGAAAATAATAACATCATAATCATGTCAAATCTCTTTTTCTCCAATTAAATACCACATTGGTTCAAAATAACTGGAAAATCAATATTTTCTTTAGCAGCGGAAAAAATCTCTTTTTCTCCAATTAAATACCACGTTGGTACAAATTAACCGGAGAATAAACAATTTCTCTAGCTGTGGAAAAACTTCTCTTTTCCTTGAATTTTACCCACAGGGAAAAATGCTTTTTCTATTTTCTTTAATCCATTAATCAATTTCCAGGAAATAAACATTTACTGAAAATAGAAAAAGGAAAAACTCATTCTTTTTTTGTACTATTCCTTCGGCCCAAAACGGCAAGGCGGCCCACGGCCCACGGCCGTACGCGCCCTTCCCGCGTGCTCCCCCGCGCCCAGGCCGCAACCTGGGCCTGGGCCGGGAATTCGGCCTCACGCACTATCCCGCCTGGGCCAAATCCAGGTCCAGTGAATTTACGCCGTCCGTCTGCATCCTACAGCCGAGCGGCGAGATCGGGCGAATAAAAATCCACCGACGCTGGGTTTTCTTTTTCTATTTTTCTTTTGAGCCATTTCCATTTTTCATTTTCCTGGAAAAAGAAAAATTCGAAAACAGGCTCATACTTTACTGTTTCAGCCCAAAACCGGCAAAACCGGCTCGGCCCACTTCTTCTCGCGCGCGTAGGCCACACCCAGGCCGCAACCTGGGCCTGGGCCGGCAAAGTCCCGCGCGTCCGCGCGCCCGCCTGGGCCGCGACGCTGGCCCATTCGATCTCAGCCATCCGTCTAGATCCGACGGCTGCGCGCGCATCTCGCTGAGGATAACACCGCGACGCCACGCGCCCCCTAAGCGAACCCTAGGTCATTTGGTCTGGCCCTCTCTCTCTCTTCGCCTCACTCTGCTTTCTTTCCTCAACAGAGAAGCAGCCCAAGAGTAACGGCGATCGAAGCGATTGGTGTTGCTTGCCGATTCTTCACGGTGGCTGCGCAAGGCCCGCTGGTGGAGCGCGCCGCCGTCGAGAGGACTAGCGGCAGCACCCTTTTCCCCCACGGTGAGGAGGTCCCGAAACCCTGAAACCCTAGATCTCCCGTCTTCTTTTGAACTTTCTTTCTCTCAGCCTCACGAGCACGCGCCCGGCGGCGGTACAGTGGTGAGATTTTCTATTTCCTTTAGTTCATCCGAATCGGGTCGTGGGTTAGGGTTCCGATTCCGACCCTCCCCTTTTCCCCTTTCTCTGATTTGAGTTGCTCTTCTCTTTTCTTTTCTTTTCGAAGTTCATCCGAAAACAAGATCTAGGGATACGGTTTCATTTTCTTTTGATTTCTTTTCTTTTTGGAGTTCATCCGAATAGGTTCCTTTCCCCTTCTTTGATTCTTTTCTGTTTCTCTTTTCGGTCGAGTCCGATTTGGATTTCTTTTCATTCTTCTCGGATTCAACCGGTTAGGGATGAGGATTCGTTCTAGGGTTAGGGTTTCGGCTCTGTTCATCTTAAGGCCGAAAACTTTTCTTTTCCCCTTTCTTTAACCCAGTTAGGGTTAGGGTTCAAGTGCCGAGGGCCCTTGATTTTCTTCTTCTCTGATCCGAACACGGATCTGTTCTTTTCCCCACACGCGGTGGCGGTGGTGACCGGTAGACAGTACCCCGGTCTCTCTCTTTTTGCTTTTACCCGGTTAGGGTTAGGGTTACACACTTAGTAACCTGGCTCTGATACCATTGTTAGAATCAGCGTGTGTGTACCTTTGCGTAACCCGTAGATTGGGGTAGGCTCCTCGCCTTTCTCTGTTGCGGCTTCTCGGCAAGCATGAACGCCGGTGCCGCAGTGTAGTAGATGTCGTAGTGGCGAGGAGGTGATGTCCAGTGGCGCCGGCGGAGAACCTGCAGGGGCGACGGCGGTGGTGGGGCACATCCCGGCGCTTCCAGCACTACTTTAGATCGGTTTTAGGGTTTCTCTGTTGAGTGGGTGGCGGCTCCGATGAACCTCGTAGTCCGAGCCCTCACCCCCACCTTCCTTTTATGTGTGTTGTGCGACAGGGGCCCACCAACCGGATTAGGGTTGGGCTCCCCCGATCAGGGAGCAGAGATAATGGCCCAATAGACCGTTGGGCCTATTGGTGGAGATCAACTAACAGGCTGATCTCGTCGTGGTACTTTGGGAGTCTGGGTGCGACGAGAGGTAGAACAGGACGGCCACCGTGTTCTGCCGTGCCTTGACCTTGGCGGCCACGTTCATGGTGTCGATGATGAGGCCCAACCCGCCGGCTTCCACCAGCGCCCGCCGCCTGGCCTCCACGTTCACGGCGTTGTTCTGCACGGTCGCGTCCGTGGAGGAGAGCAGGTGGAGCTGCCACGGCATGGCATCCACCTCCACGAGGCGCGTCGGGTAGAAGATGTTCCACTTTGAGAACCTGCGGGCCTCGTACGTCATCTTCTTCTGCTCCTCCGGCGCGCCGCTGGACAGCCTCACCATTAGGAACGCCGCGGAGAGGCGCACAACGCCAGCCGCGGCCGTGCCGAACGGCATGGCAGTCATGTCGACCGCGCACCGGTGGCTGTTGCTTGCTACTGGACTCGTGGAGCAAGACGCCCCGCCTGAGGAGCTGCTCGAGATGACCCCACGCGCCATGACGTTCGTCACAAGATCGGCGCTCCAGAGCCTCTCACCGGTTACGGGGCAATTCCAGCATCCGCTCTTAATCCACTTCTTGATGGACGCGCTGTAGAATGTTCAGTTTCAGACTATTTTTCAGATTAGTACAATGTTTTTCTGTTTTCAGTTTCATCAGTGTAAGCCGATGGCCACCGTCATCAGCTCCAACATGGTCATACGTCTGGGCGATGGACACCGTCATCAGCTCCAGCGTGATCGGGCACCGCAACGCCTCCTGGTTCACTCCTGCTGCCGCGCACCTTGGTGGCAGCCTGTTCGCCATCGCAGCCTTGCCTGCCTTGCTAGAATCATCAATCGTTGTCGTTGTGCCTGTCGATCTCCAGGTGCTCCAGCAGCTCAGCCTACAGGAACGTGGCATCCTCGGGGCAGTCCGACCAGGTGGCGACACCAACGTGGGCGAGCATGAGCCTAGCATCCTCGGCGTCGGGCGTCACGTCCGCCGGGACACCAACCCCGTGAGCTCCTCGGCGCCCGTGGACGCCCTGACGACGGGCAGCACGTCCATTGCCGTGGCGACGAAGCTCAGCAGCACCCGGAGACATGGCTGGATCTACAGCGAATGCGGGACAGAGGAAGCTACGGCGTGGGGCGATGGATGCGATGACGGCTGGCTGCAGCGAAGGAGGCGGCGGCTCTCAAAGATAGGGTTTGGACCCACAGGTTCTTCTGATCGCCCTCGTATTCGCTCAGGGGGTATTTGCATTAGTTCAATGTGTGTCACGCCCAATTGGACCTAACTGAGACCCAAACAATGATTAGGTACTCAAACAACCGTTTTGCAACTTTAGAGACCGGGACGACACAACATCACAAAGTTTAGGGACCGCTGCTGCACTTTACTCTAAATAGCAGTAGTAGGAACATTATATACCATGCATATCTTTAATTTGATCTCCTGTGTGTAGGCAAATCTAAATAATTAATGACGATCATTGACCTCGAACATAAAAACAAACAAGCCAATCCTTGGCTTGCAAGCTTCTAGAGGAGTACGGGTAGAACTGTAGACGCTGATGCTACAGTACGTGCTACTATAGCTGATTGAGGCCTCGAGTTAGGTTAACCTCAGCTACCTCCTACAGTTTTACTGTACGTACCTCTCTCATTATTGTCACCCCCCTCTCTCTCTCTCTTCTTGTCTTCTCCCCCGTGTTCATGCAATCTCAAAAAAAAAAAAAAAAAAAAGAGGGACATATGTTTTTGTATTGGTTAATTATGACTTTATGAGCTGCTAGTCGGATTAGCTGGAGGCATGTATGAATCCATGTGCATGCATGATTATCGTACGTACAGCTAATGTCCATCCATCCATCCGTCAGGTGTGTCCACACATGACACGTACATGCATGCACGCTTATTTACTCCTACTTTGCACGGCTATACCTATATATATACCTACTACCTTGAATATAACATATATTACTATATAAAAGTAAGCCCGTCAAAATAAAAAAAAATCGAACATACCCACGAAAATACTAAGAAAATGCAACAAATAAATTAAAAGAAGTGATCTAGCTACTTTCCATAAGGACATAGTGCATGTGAAACAAAATGTATACGCATATATTTATAACACCACAAATTTATTTATGTGCAAGGAGCAAACGTCACTTTTTCTAAAGGAAAAGTTTAATATATTAATACAATAATACACGTATATTCATAGCACAAATCAACACAATTGTGAACAATGTATATATATATGGTTTGCGTGTTCCATCAACCTTAAGCTTTGTGTTTTATTTCAACGAACGACAATGACATGATCTGGCCTGGCTCGTCGATGATATATCATCGTCGTCGTATCATGCTGGCGAGCACGTTATCAACAACTAGTCGTTGGATATAATTAATAATGTACTAATATGTCCAATACGAATCGGAGATCATATAGGGACAATCATCTAACATGGCGCCAACTCCTACCTGCACTAGCGACAGCTTGAAAGATGTTTGATTTATCTATAAAAATACACATTTATTTACATATATCCCCTATGTACGAACAATATATATATATATATATATATATATATATATATATATATATATATATATATATATATATATATATATATATATATATATATATATACCTTAAACTATCGATGCCTTTGTTTTCAGTATCACACGCGTTGCATTATATAATATATACAATAACATGTTATTGTCAACAGTCGTCGTTTTCTCTGACATTGTATTCATCAACTAAAACAAACTTTAGCTGGTCACATTTCGATCAATAATTCCGTGTGTTATATATTGTACATATTTGACCATCTCTCTTTAATTCATATCTATCCGGCCATCGCTTTCTCGTAAATTCAAACATCTCATTAATTTCTTCCGGAGAGAAAGAGATATGAACAATAAATAAAAGCTGTCGCGTCCCATCATAAATTTCTTGAATGAAGTTAGTATAACGTAATGAAACTCAAGAAGGCGACCGCGGTAGTCATGGCAAAGCGGAGGTAGCGGACCTCCGATGTCCACTTAGAAGAAGAACCCATACATGACAAACTACAAAAGCCATGCCTATATCTATAGCTGTAGAAATGTGTGACGGGTGGGCCTCCGCTCTAGTTCATCGCCGGTGAGGTTGCTAGAGGAGGATGAGGGAGACTAAAAGCGATTACCAGGACCCTAAGTTAGAAGCTCTCGCGTTGGACAAGAGGCCACATCATCGAAATAAAGTTTGAAACACCACCTACATATGAAGTAAAAGTTCGAAACACAACCTATGAAGTAGGCGTTGGGCCGACGATTGGGTAGTGTATTTGGATCCATGTGTCATATCCTAGTTGGCAAGTGCCGTTGGTCTGTTTCTTTGATGATTCTGTTTGACAAAGAATTGTTGCTCCTCTTTGTTGCGTGTTTTTTTTGTATATTTTTTCTTGAGCAGTGGTGGAGGCGAAGAAGATGCTCAATTTAGGTTAAGGTTCCGTTTGGATCATTTCATTTGGAGGAATTGTAATCTACTTTATGATCTAGGCTAGCTATTTGGTTTGAAATTTGACACATTCCATAACTTTCTCAAGTTTAGATATAAGGTTGTCTTAAATTCATAAGACGAGAGATAGAAATTGATTCCATAGTTCCTCATGGTATGTTTCTGCGCTGTAAGTTAAAGCACATTCTCTTCGGCTCGATCCTCTGTAGTAGAACTACAACAAGTAAGTATCTACCACATGTAATAACCAACAACAGGATATGAGTATATTCCACACATGGCTATATTATAACTTTATTTGATCTATGTCTATGTTGTGATTATTAGAATAATGGGTTTCGATTCCAAAGATGTACTGTAAAACGGGACCTAAAGTTAATTACTGAGGGTTATCACACTGTTGATGGTCGTTGTCGGTCAACTTTGAATTCGAAATGCTAGCAGCAGCTAAATTAAACGTGGAGGACGGAGGGCTAGCTAGTGAACTTTATTTGGGGGACACGTAAGTTGATTCTTTAGTTGGTTTGAGATCGATTTGATGTCGTTTAGCGCACCGAGTTTCGTGATTTTTTAGTTGTACAATAATGTAATAACGCATAGTGTAAACCGACGTGGATGGGCTTGTTGTGGAGGCTACGATCGACGACTTTGAATTTAGATTAAATTTGTTTTGTGTTTAGGAGTATATATAAGAATCTTAGGCAATGCACATCATATATAAACACGGGAATAGAATAGAATTGAAGATAGAGAGAGAAATATATATTTGTTGCTCCTGGTCATGGTGGGTGCAGTCGTCAAGCATGCTATGCAGTGGCGCTGGAAGATAACAATAACAATACACAGGTAATGGAAGATATGGTGTGGACTTGTTCTTGCTCAGCTGGTAGGTACGTACAGTACCGGCAGAGCAGGCAATAATGCACGGTTGCAACATGCATGCATCGCATGCCAAGGAAGGGAAGGGAGCATGAACATGAACATGCATGCTAGCTGATTCAATTCATTCATGTTGTTATCTTATCTTGTTGCAAGTAGGATCGGAGTATACTCGAGAGTGTACGTCGGTCTGAAACCAATAAGTGCTGTGCTGGTCCAACCATTAACCAATATCAGTACCTCAGTCCAATTCTCGCTTTTCGAGGACTCAAACATTTTAAATTTTAATCAGAGTTATATAAAAATATATCAACATTCATGATACAAAATAAACGTTATTGGATTAGTAATAGAATATATTTTTATAATAAATTTATTTAGATTTATAAATAATAATACTATTTTCTATTTCTATAAACTTGATGGAACTCAAACTAATTGGACTAGCACAGAATCCATAATTGACCGAGCGAGTAGTATATTACTCTTTACTCGTACCTTGTATTGACCTGACCTGTGGCCTGTGGGGAAGGGGAGTGCAGCTGCAGCCGCGTGGGCCCACTACTCAAGCGTGCAAGTACAAGCTATTTCCCTTTTTGGTGTCGTCAGGCAGGTCAGTCTCGTGTGTCCTCACAGGCTCTCACTCAGGCATGGCAGGCAGGCACGGAATGCCACGTTTTCTTTCTCCCTCCTGCGTTCGTTTCGTTTCCCTGCGTGCGCTTGCACTGCACAGTGACAGTCCGCAGCAGCCGCCAGCGGCGGCTTGCAGACTGTTCGGGAGGCCGTATCGTATCGTGGATTATTTACTGCTGGCAGTTTAGTGTGAGAGAAAAACACTATTCCCAACTTAAAATTTACTATCATTTACGAGCAAACGAACAGGCTCCTCCCGCCTCCCGGTTCTCGCCGAGTCCGTCGTCGTCGTCTTCATTTCGGCGGATGACAGCCCAACACCGCCTCCCGGTTCTCGCCGAGTCCGTCGTCGTCGTCTTCATTTCGGCGGATGACAGCCCAACAAGACATTATTCATTAATTCCCTTTAATTGATTAATCAATCAATCAATCATTCATTCACGTTCCTTTTCCTTCACGCGCACCACGACTCTGCTCTGCTCTGCTTCTCCTGCTGCTGCTCGGCCAGACGGACACCTCCTTCATCCCCGCCTCCTAGTCCCAGTATAAAGGAAGCAAAGCAATCCCACACCATGTCCGTCCTCGTCTCCATCCAATCTAGGCATCAGTAGGCATCATCCCAATCTCCATCTACATCTACTGGACGTGTTGTACCTGTAGACCTTCCTTCCAAGCTACTCACTCCTACAATAACACAAGATGATGGAGGTGGAGAGGCCGCCGTTGGAGCTCAAGGAGGAGCAGCAGCCACAGCTCCTCATGGAGGCCGAGGAGGAAGACACCTCCGCCCTCCTGCACACCAGGGACAGGGAGAGGAACGGCAAGAAGAAGAAGATGACGACGACGATGGCGGACCTGGACCTGGAGCCCTCCGGCTCCGGCTCCAGCTCCGACGCAGCAGCAGCAGCAGAGGATGAAGAGGAAGGCCAAGCTCCTCACCACCAGAGCATCTTCTTTGATCCAACCAAAGGTCTGCTGCATTTCTCCTCTTCTCTCATTGCACTTGTTAGTTGCAGTTTCTGTCCAGGTCCTCCTCCTCCCTGCTTTCTTCGTCGTCTTCTGGTTTCCTTACATTCC